AACCAAATTCTCAAAGCTGTTCACCAGCAGAAATTTACGCTGCAGTCTATGAACCACTTACTTCATAGTAGTTCTGTTGAATAAAATGGAAGAGTTTCAGGGCCCTTTCAGGCTCCCGGCTGCCCAGGCGTACTCTAGGGTTAAACCGAGAAATCTGTGGATTTCAACCTCTCAATGTCTTCAAGATAATCCGTGGAGCTATTTTACTGTGCGGTTCGAATCCCCGCAGCGGGGTGCGCTCCCGTTGCTCAGTCCCAGCGCCTGCCAACCTAGCAGTTCGAAAGCACCCCCGGGTGCAAGTAGATAAATAGGGACCGCTTACTAGCGGGAAGGTAAACGGCGTTTCCGTGTGTTGCGCTGGCTCACAAGATGCAGCTTTGTCACGCTGGCCACGTGACCTGGAAAGTGTCTGCGGACAGCGCTGGCCCCCGGCCTCTAGAGTGAGATGGGCGCACAACCCTAGAGTCTGTCAAGACTGGCCCGTACGGGCAGGGGTACCTTTACCTTTACCTTATTTTACTGTACTGTAGTATTCTCTAACGAAAAAGCCATCTTTGCTTGAGGCCGAAATGCATCTGTTTTGACTGTTTTGCTCTAAACAGAGCCGTATGGGACCTATTTAGCGCAAATGAGCAGATAAATGGCTGTTTTTATCAAGCACAATCCCCGTATCCTTTCTAGGACAAACGATCTCTTCATGGCTGCGTTTCACATAATGCAATCCCCTTCCTTCCTCGCTTGCTATCCATCTCATGTAGAAACCAAATAATTGCCTCCAGAAGCAAGCCAAGGTCTCATTAAGCTTTGGCACTGCCCAGTCACTTGGCTTCCAATATCTTGCGGGATAGGAAAAAAATCACCTGGGGACAGCATCTGCTTAGTTATTTGTAACCTTTTGCTTTTCCCCTCCCTCCCTTAAGCTGTTCTGACACCTGGGGCTTGTTAGCCTAATGCAGTGGATCATGTCAAGCCTCAGTAATATGAACTGATGCATACTGACAACAATTGTGGTAATATGGCTTTGTTTAGCGGTCTGGCTTTTGGCGTTGATCTGGCTTATTGATATAGCTATCTGCGTTGTATTATATATAACTTGATTGTTTTTATTGTATTAGTGGTTTTTCTTGTTGCTGGAAGCTGATTCAAGTGAGTAATGGGGCAAATTTAGAAAGGTATCCGTTTTAAAAATAGGTAATTTTAAAAGATCACAGATAAGTGAGCTCTTTGGCTCTCACTTCAGTCTCTGGACCCCAGAAAAAAAGACAGAGGAAACTGGGTGTGTGTGGAGGACTCCATGCGTCAAACCTAGAACTAGGAAGGATGTCTCCCGCACTGCCAATCCTCAAACATTCTCCACTCTTCCACTCAGTGGTGATGGTGGGAAGTACAGTGGTACCTCGGGTTAAGTACAGTCATACCTCGGGTTGAATGTGCTTCAGGTTGAGCGCTTTCGAGTTGCGCTCTGCGGCAGCCCGGAAGTAACGGAGTGCGTTACTTCCGGGTTTCGCCACTCGCGCATGCGGAGACGCTCAAAATGACGTCACACACATGCGCGGAAGCGGTAAAACGCGACCCGCGCATGCGCACCGTCACGTCTTATGTTCCATTCAAGATGCAAACTGGGCTCTGGAATGGATCCCGTTCGCATCCCGAGGTACCACTGTACTTAATTTGTTCCGGAGATCCATTCTTAACCTGAAACTGTTCTTAACCTGAAGCACCACTTTAGCTAATGGGGCCTCCTGCTGCCGCCGTGCTGCCGGAGCACGATTTCTGTTCTCATCCTGAAGCAAAGTTCTTAACCCGAGGTAGTATTTCTGGGTTAGCGGAGTCTGTAACCTGAAGCGTCTGTACCCCGAGGTACCACTGTCTGATGTCGAACTCAGGATGAAAGGGCGAAGCATGCTAAGAGGAAGGCACGCTTGGCAAACCCTCACCATGATCAACACCCGCCGGGAAACCTATGTCCCCACTGTGGAAGGATGTGTGGATCCAGAATTGGCCTCCACAGTCACTTACGGACTCACTGTTAAGACCGTGTTCATGGAAGACAATCTTACTTGGGTACGAGTGATCTCCAAAGAAGAAGAAGAAAGATGGGAAATGTATTTTTCCCATGGGATCCTCCATAGTTTCCCCACACCCTATCACTCTGTTAGCCAGCAAGAATGGAACAATTTCCCCTCCCCGTCAATATAGTTTTGGTGCTCCTTTGGTCATAAACAAAAGGGAAGCCCCCAGTGGCCCCCAGTGGGTTAGTTAGTGTGTCTGGCTGTTAACCAGCTGGTTGGTGGTTTGAGCCCACCCAGGGATGGCTGTGGGCAGGATTCCTGCATTGCAAGTTGTCTCCACCTCCACTCTTCCCTTTCATAGAATTGGAAGGGACCCTGAGGCTGATCTAGGCCAGTCCCCTGCAATGCTGGAATCTCAACATGCGTTGGTCTCCCATCCAATATGAAACCATACCGGACCCTGCTTAGCTTTGTGAATGTGCTGGCAGTTTTATTGCTGTACCACTTGGGGAGATTGAGATGTACAGTAGAGTCAGGCAGCAGTGGGCTGAGGTTGGAAATTATTTTCCCACTCAGGATTTTCTTATGAGCCAGAGAAGATGTTTGGGGTGTGTGTAAAACATGCCTCTGATTTTGAAGGATGGTTTCTTGATTCCAAGCCTGAATCTGAAGAGCTTCACTATCATGTCTACCGGTACTTATTCCAGCAGGTTTGATGCAAGCTGTACTCTGTTCCCCTTCAGGCTGAAGTTCCTCACCCCTGCATTCGACTGAGTTTAGTCTCTCTGTGCTCAAATGTCTTTGTTTTCCTTGGTAAACACACATTTCATGTATGTCAACTAACAGCAATGGAATCATTCCATTGCCAAAACTGAACACAACCTCTTTAAAGAGGAAAATGTAAGAAAGATGATGAAATCATACCGTTTGTTGTACGTGTGTAGATGACAAATTACATTGAGCTTTGGTTCTTTGATTTTAATCATGGTATCACATGAAAAGCAGCCTCTTCCTGTTTTTCTACGTTTTATAAATCTTATCAAAGACTTGGCAAATAGCTCAGGCATCAGAAGAGAATGAGATATGCTTGTGAGGTTCTGTGTGCTCTTAAAGAGGCTGCAAAGGCAATGCTTGCTTCAGCTAGGAATTTGAGCAGAAGGCCTGGGTAAGAGCCTCCCGTTTCTGCCCCTGGTACTGCACTGCACAAATGATTGAACCAATTGTCAGCTCTGCATCCTGCAGCTCTCCCCAAATTATCACCCTGTGTGTTAAGCATAGGAGGGATGGAGTGCAAAGGCCACAGGGCCAAGAGTGGACTTTGCAGTGTAGCATCATTTAAAGATGTTGTGTATGTGTGGAATGGATGCTTCTGCTCTCTGACCATTGGGAAAGTGGACCTGAATAACTTGTGGCTAACTCGCTTCAAACAGATTTAGATTTTGGGTCATTTGCTTTGGAAAGGTTTCAGTTTGCGTCAGGGAATTTTCAGCAGGCCCTAGAGCAGGAGTGGGGAACCTGTGACTCTCTGGAAGTTGCTGGAATCAAACTTCCATCATTCCCAACCACCATTGCCAAGGGTTGGGGATGATGAGAGTTTGGGCCCCTCCAAATGTTGTTGAACCATAGTTTCCTCACTCCTGGTCTGGAGAATGATGTAATTATAATCCTTATTTTACTTAGCTTTAGTAAGCAAAGCTAAATACGTGGAAATGGCCACATTTGCCCAGTTATTTATTTGTGTTTGGTGTCTATTCATTTTTGCCAATGAACTTGTGAAATGGAAAAAAAAATATATGTGAAATGTAAAGCACTGGAAAATTCTCAGGGGAAAAGTTCATTGAGTCATACCCGAGCTTTAATTACCGTATTTTTCGCTCTATAAGACTCACTTTTTCCCTCCTAAAAAGTAAGGGGAAATGTGTGTGCGTCTTATGGAGCGAATGCAGGCTGCATGGCTATCCCAGAAGCCAGAACAGCGAGAGGGATCGCTGTGCAGCGCTCCCTCTTGCTGTTCTAGCTTCTGGCTTAGCCCCTCTGTCCCTTCCCTCACCTCCTGGAAAAGCCCCCAAGAGCCGCGCTCCCTTTCACAAGCCGCGTGGAGTGTGTGTGCGGCTCTTGGGGGCTTTTCCCCAAGGAGGGAGAAGGGCAGCCTTCCATGCACTCCACGCAACTCGTGAAAGGGAGTGTTCAGCAGAGCTTGGGATGCATACAGGCTCTGCTCAGCGCTCCCTTTAAAGAATATTTTTTCATTGCATTCCCCCTCTAAAAACTAGGTGCGTCTTATGGTCAGGTGCGTCTTGTGGAGCGAAAAATACGGTACCTCTACAAAGTAAAATTTATTTTTTATAGTTTTCTCAGAAATGGGGCTTCCTGTTTTGTATTTTCCAATACTCTTTGTGTAACAACTGTATATGATTTATTTGGGCACAGATAGCCCTCTGAGTATTTATTCAAAGTAAAAATCCCCCAAAAGTGGTGTGAACATGCTCTCAGTCCCTTTTGTAGACCTGGGATCTTCAACTGAAGGGCAGTATATACAAATTTAATTAACAACAACAACAACAAACATAGGAAAGAGCCTACCTACTTTATTAGATGTGTTAAAATGTATCATGAGTTGGCACTTCTCAGCAGATCGGTATTTTGGGGATTGTATATAATAATTATAAATTGCATGAATACAGCTTTTCAGTTTGTCTTTACCAAATGATGGAGTACTGCAAATTTGAATGAAGTGTTAGGTCAGTGTTTCCTAAAGTGATAAGGCTGTATCTAATTAATTCATATTCAGAATAGTAGACCCACTGAAGTCTTACATGGGATACAGTGTATAAGCGGAAAATAAATTTCTAGGCTGTGACTAAGGCTGTTTCAGAAGTGCCAGAAAATATTAAGCTGGAGTGCTTTATGATGAAGTTCGTTTTTGTTCTGAAAACTGTCCCAAACCCTAAGATTTGATGGACTAATCCCCACCTCCTTCTTTTACAGCAAGTTACGGGGAGAACCTTTGGTGATAAAGATTTTCGGTCTGGATTAGAAAACGGTGTTCTGCTGTGTGAGTAAGTAAAACTGCAGCTTGAACTATGAGTTTTAAGTTCTTTTTGTGAAGTCCTCGTAATAATAGCTGTAGCGTTCAAGTTATCTGTGCTTTGGAGATAGATTTGAGGAAGATTCACACAACCCTTTTTTGTTCGTTTGCTTCTTGTCGAGTTTGGTTTGTTGACCTGGCTTTGGGAATGTTTCGCCAGCTGCCTAGATGGCCCCCTCGGATGTGCTAAAAAGCACATTGTGCTATGACTTCCTAGGAAGAAAAGTTACTTTCCCAGACATTATAGTACAGACCTGCTGTTAGGAGTCATCCGACCTCAAGCCAAAGGAAACTTCTTGTGTGGAGCACCTCCAACTCAAACAAGTGTAGCCAAAGCAAACAATGGAGGCTTGTCATCAAATGTGTTGCATGCTTAGGAACTGGATGGTCATGGTGGGTTGTCCAAGCGTCCTCCAAAGTATACATGCACATCTGGTGGGAACGCTGCCATTCTTGATGTAATATACCTCTTTGTGGAATGGACGAGGGAGGCTCTCAAATATCAGCCAATATTATTTAACATGCAGGCTTCTGCTGTTGCCTAGCAAACATTCTTCACAGCTCAAGAAATTGGCCTTAGCGTGACCAGATAGTCCACCAGGATGCTTTGCTTTGTGTTAATACATGACCATTTCCAAAGTTCTGTCATATTTAACACGGGCCGCCAGAAATAGATTACAGGATGGGGACTTGCAGGTAAAGGCTGACTCCATTCTCAAGGGTCACATTGAGTTTTGTGGGGCAAAACCTATCTACATTATTCCGCAAGTCATTCATTTATTTAGATTAATTTTTTTTGTTAAAGTAAGTTGTACTCAGAGTAGTCTACTCTGAATGTTACTCGCAAAAGGTATTACGTGTACTCTAAAATGTGCTTTGAAATGTATTTTGAATGAGAACTGCATCAGAACATTCGAGAAGTGCAATATCTTGTGCGCAATTAAGTTCTAGTCTGCTCATTATACTGGGACAGGCATAGGCAAACTCCAGCCTTCCGGATGTTTCGAGACTACAGTTCCCATCATCCCTGACCTGTTAGCTAGGGATGATGGGAAGTGTAGTTCCAAAACATCTGGAGGGGCGGAGTTTGCCTATTCCTGGACTGGGAGATCAGAGCCGGCCCTACTGTTAGGCAAAGTGGGGAAACCGTTACAGGAGGTAAGCACTGGATGGTAGCAGAAAGCACAGCCCCCTTGCTGTTTCTCCTAAGCCCCCTGGGCATTCCCTCTCTTTTCAAGGACAGTGCTATGTATGCCACATGGCATTTTCCATCCCACCCCCTTAGCTTGCTGTCTCGGGTGTTGTGGAAGATGCTACTCCATCACCACTAGTGAGTTAAGATTTAACTTCCAGTCTAGTTAATTTCTGTATGTGGAATGAGGACAGGGCCGAGCAGCTAAAGTGGCATATGTCTGACGCTACCTGCCCCTAACACGCAGTAAGTTCAGTTGTGGGAGTGTAATGGCAGGGTCCTACTTCACAGGCCTGAGGGCAAAAGGTAAAAGGACCCCTGGAGGGATGTGGGTGGTGCTGTGGTCTAAACCACAGAGCCTAGGACTTGCCGATCAGAAGTTCAGCGGTTCGAATTCCCACGACGGGGTGAGCTGCCGTTGCTCGGTCCCTGTTCCTGCCAACCTAGCAGTTCAAAAGCACATCAAAGTGCAAGTAGATAAATAGGTACCGCTCCGGCGGGAAGGTAAACGGCGTTTCCATGCACTGGTTTCACCAGAAGTGGCTTAGTCATGCTGGCCACAGGACCCAGAAAAACTGTCTGTGGGCAAACGTCGGCTCCCTCAGCCAGTAAGGCAAGATGAGCTCTGCAACCCCAGAGTCGTTTGCGACTGGACCTAACTGTCAGGGGTCCTTTACCTTTACCTTTTAAAGGACCCCTGGATGGTTAAGTCCAGTCAAAGGCGACTATAGGATTGCGGTGCTCATCTTGCTTTCAGGCTGAGGGAGCCTGTGTTCATCCGCAGACGGCTTTCCATGTCATGTGGCCAGCATGGCTAAACTGCTTCTGGCACAACGGAACACTGTGATGGAAACCAGAGTACATGGAAACGCCATTTACCTTCCTGCTGCAGCGGTACCTATTCATCTACTTGCACTGCTGTGCTTTTGAACTGCTAAGTTGGCAGAAGCTGGGACAGAGCAACAGGAGCTCACCCTGTCATGGGGATTCGAACCGCTGACCTCCTGATCAGCAAGCCCAACAGGCTCAGTGGTTTAGACCACTACTTTTGAGGTAGATTAGGGTGGCTGAGAGTGACCTAAGGCCCATGGTCACCCAGTGAACTTCATAGTTCTCTCACAGCTCTCTAACCTACCTCATAAAGTTGTTGTAAGGAAAAGGTCATTCATGCCACTTTGAGCTCCTTGGAAGAAGGGTTGCATATAAAAGTCCATATGGATGTGTCCGTCACTGTACTTCCCCGTGTTACCAAATACGTGCATGACGAACTGAAAACTCTATTTGAAAACTAGAGGTGTGGCTTGTCTTGTAGCTTTTATGTTTTCTCTGTCTCTAGTCGTACATTTCGTCCTTGGCTAATAGTGCCTTTGATAGAAAAGTGCTTAATTAACAGGGAATTAAGTTACCGCTCAGCTCATGTTGCCCTATTAATCCCAGTCTAACCAATTTGTGGACCTTTAGTACAAAAGAAGAGGGGGGGGGAAATGCCTTGCTTGCTTGCAAATACCCTTTGTCTGACCAATGAGGTTCACAGACCTGACTTACCCTGGTGGAGATTGTTCCGTTGCACTCTGGCGTGAGTGTGATCGCCTCTTGTGAATCCTGCTTGCCTGGGGTCTAGTGTTCCTCAGTCAGCCATCTGGCAACCTTGACAAGCAAACCCTATCATTTAAGTGCAGAGGTGGACAGAGAGCATCTTGGCAATTGTGTTTAGTTGCCTGCCCCTTTCCCAGGGACATGTCTGGGAAGTGGTTTGACCATTGCATTGCTGAGCTAATTGGAGTCACGCAGGGTCAAACCTGTAAGAACCCCACCCTTTCCTGTCTGGAGCAGAAATGGGTGGGGCTGTGTGCACAATCAGTGGCATCTGTCTAACTCCAGTCACTTATCTTTCCTTCACAGTTGGGATGCGGGTGGTGCTGTGGTCTAAACCACTGTGCCTCTTGGGCTTGCCGATTGGAAGGTGGGCAGTTCAAGTCCGTGCGACGGGGTAAGCTCCCATTGCTCTGTCCCGGCTCCTGCCAACCTAGCAGTTCAAAAGCACACCAGTGCAAGTAGATAAATAGGTACCACTGTGGCGGGAAGGTAAATGGCGTTTCTGTGCGCTCTGCCACCTGTCACAGTGTCCTGTTGCACCAGAAGCTGTTTAGCCATGCTGGCCACATGACCCAGAAAGCTGTCTGTGGACAAACGCCAACTCCCTCGGAAAAGCGGAGATGAACGCCACATCCCATAGTTTCCTTTGACTGGACTGAGCCGTCCAGGGGTCCTTTACCTTTACCTACCTTCACAGCATTAAAAGCAACTTACCATTTTGTGCTTTGCTACAGTTAGCAACGTTAGAAAATAGCAACATGTGCCTCACCCCAGTAAAATATGGTGCATGTCTGGTTTTAAACTGGTTGATTTTCTCAGCAAAACTCGTGCATGTGGCGTCTAGGTATGGATAAGTGCTCCCCTTCCATGTAAGGCTCATAGATTTCATATTCTTGAACCCTGAGGACAAAATGAGGGGCAGACTGAATCCTGTTGAGAAAGAACATTCCAGAGGTTATGATGCTGGGGAGACTAAAGTATTCATACAGCTATTATGGGCATGTAAGAGATGTTCCTCCCTCCATTGTATGATTGTGATAGTGTTACCAGAAAGGAAAGGCACATTTGCTGTCTCAAATGTAGGCCTCAAAAAAGTATGTCACTTGTAACCCCAAGTTCAAATGATCTATGACTTTAACAATTGCAGAGTAATTTATATTAAAACTATATTCACTTGTGCTTATTTTGTGGTTTGCTTCACATTGATGTTCTCGTTTGTTTGTGTGATATATGCGCTTCCTGTTTCACTGTTAGAGGCTTTAAAAAATATATATATACCCCTGATTAGACCAGATCGTGCTTTGTTTTCACTGCACTGAGAGATGGAAAGTGATGTCTTGTTTGCAACTGGTGTGCATGAGGGAAATCTGAAGGGACCTGAAGAAAGATTAAAATGGAGCGTGGTATTTTGAAGCTCTTTTCCCAGCTAAAAGCAAGCTGGTTTGGGTTTGCGGGTGCTCAGACTAATTGGAGGCTGGTCAAAGTATATGCAGCCAGGTTTAATACACCTGCAACTTGCTTCTGTTGAAACTTTTCAGTGTAAGGGAAAGTTGAAGAGATGGTTCTTACTATTATGTTCCATTCTATGGTCCAGATATCTCAGTACATAATACACGAGTCTCTCATCAAATCTGTCTTCAACAAAAATATGTGTACATGGTGACTTGGAAAGGAATGTGCGTATTATAGTAACAGACTGGGTAAAAGGAAGTATGCCATAGATCTGAAAGTGTGAAAACCTTTTTTGAGTAGCCGTTCTTCTTTTTGGGTTTAAAGCAACACTTCTGTTTTTCATAACATTACTCGTTTCAATTGCTAATGCAGCTGTGCTCAGGCGCTAAGCTCTTTCGTTTTTTTGAAGGAGTGATTTCATGGCTTCTGGCACAGTGGTTTGGATTGACTAATACTGCGTAAAGCAATTTTTTTGCAGGAGCTGTCTTTGTGTGCCAGAATAAGAGGCAATTCCCATTGAGTTCCTTTTTAGTTTTGCTTAAGTTAGTGGTGCTGTAGAACAGATTGCAGGCACCCAGAGCCTTGCTGGTTTTCTTCATGCTGCAGTTGAGCCAACACTTCTTTTCCTGTGTTTTCCTCAATCAATAGTGGCATGTATGAAGCCTAGACTCCCCCTGCTCACTTCTCACATTGCTGTGCAGAACACTGCGGATGGACGTTTGGGAAAATGA